AGAGTTACACCTAGCTTTTTTTGGTAAGACAAAATTAATTCTTGAATTTGATACATATTATGTACTGGAAGATCTTCTTCTGTAGTAATTGCCCCTGAATAAAAAGAATGAAGGTAGAAGAATACTGAAGATACACTTGGGCAACCTGTGTAACAAAAAAGAAAAGCCCAAAAGGCTTTTCTCAGGAACAGGAGCAAGCTCAGGAACACTCAGGGCTCAGAAAACAGATCAGCTGTTCAAATAGTTTAATTTTAAGTAATATCATTTTTTTATATATAGCCTGAATAAATGTTTCCATCTAATCACACCATCAAAGAAAATGAAATATGAAAAATATGTCTTTCTGGCCTAGACATGTTATCACTTTCTGATTAATAGTTTTCTTTAATATGATAAGTATTTCAGAACAMAGAGCTTGCCTAATGACCAGGTCTTTAAAGATTGAGGCTTTTTTAATCTATTGAGTGTCAAACAGGGACACTCACCATGTGTGAAAACTTCTATTAGGAGTTCTTGAAGGAGAGACTAAATTGTCTTCCAAGGTCTGGTCAGCCCTATTTCTCTATGCAAGAGTTCTTCCTCTTGCTAAAACTTCTGCTGGCAAGGTTGGGGTCAAACACAAGTTAATAACTCAATGTTGAGATAATTTATYGAAATAACTCAAGTGAAAACACAAATATACCTAGAGGCTGAAGTTATGCTTGTTATTTCAKCTACCAGCACTTTCCTTTTTCCTTTTTTAATTACAAAGAATTTTTTTTTTTGGAAAGTTTATTAAGTAAAAGGTTAAGGAGGAGGTGGCAAATGTTATATTAAAAACATTCTTGTACATCAACCAGCGTTTCACATCTTTATCCCTTTCCTTGGCAAGGGCCTTCTTTAAAGAATTATACACCTTTATTTGATACAGAGTTTCCATGAAGCAAATACTTCTCACTTGGATATTTCTTTTCCATGTGCTTTTCTAGCTATGAATTAGCAACTTCTAAAGGGACTGAAGAAAGAAAACCAAATAAAAATCTGGCTTGGCATGATGTCCTTGATTAGGACGTGTAAAAAGAGGAAATTGAGGATGCAGTAGAACAATTAGGATGCAAAGGATAACTTAAAGCAGGCTCTGGAAATGTTTTTGTTTTTTTTTTTTTTTCCTATTGTATTGACATCCTCAGCAGACTTTAAACAGAAGTCTTGAGATCATATCCTATGCTGAAAACCAAAACTCATATTCTGAAACMAAATGCAGCTTTTAAAATACTTAATGATGTGGAAATTGAATACAATAAGACAGCAGAAAGCAAGTGGAGAAGGGCTTTGGTGCCTACACACACACATACAAGATCCAAAGAAAAATGAGTGTATATTTAAGCATAACATCCCTAAAGTGACCTCTGTTCTGTGCTGAGCTCAAGTGAGGCTCTTATGTCAATTAATATGTCAATTATGTGCTCAAAGTGGGCAATGCTGGACCACACCACCAACAATATTAAATCTTGCATATCTCCCTGTTTTTCAATGACTCAAGATTATAAGAATCTGGYTGGGTTTTCCTACCCAGAAATAATCATCACCCAGTTGGTCTGCAGGGCTTCCTGGTGAGGTGTCCATACTGCAGAGAATAGCTCAAAGTCAAATAATGTTCAGACTAAAATACCTCTCTTCCTCCACATTTCCACCCTGGGGCTATTTTTGCCTCCAGAAACACATTCTTAAGCAACKTTCTGTTTCACTGATGATAGCTCAGGTACTCCAGTGGCAGCCTGAATGACAGCAGGAAGGAAACCCAATACCCAAAAAAATTCCATCCCAGAAGACGGTGAATTGCCTCTGTCAAGAGCTAGGTGAGTGTACTGGAAAATATCACTCTGGTTTGGCTTTATTATATTATTTCCTGCTGGTGGTCACTGTTAGAGACAGCTTGCTGCACTGGACTAATTTTGGGACATCTTTACATGTGTGTGAGGTGCTCCTGCACTCTGGTCTAAMTGGGGAAAGAGTTAAATCCCTTTACCTTTTGCTACAATGAGTATCGTTTCATCACTCCATTCTTAACTGGTAGGATTTCCAGCAGTTCTATTCCTCCTCCCAAATTCTGTTTGTGCTATAACTCCAATATCTTTCAATATTTTCAATAAAAACAAGAAAAGTGTGCTTAAAAGAGAACATCAAGCCAGGCTGTTGGATGTTACCCAGTGATCCGAAATGTGGAGATTTTTGGTCATTTCAAACCCAATCAACTAACAAGCTACAGTGACAAGCCAACCAAATACTTTCAGAAATTYTCTATTTACCCTTTAGTTTGAGGTCCACGTTGTGTCGCAGCCAGGGGTAAACACCATAATTGGACATATCTTCAGGAATGGGGTTATTATATATCCAGCCATCACATGCAAATCGATAAAAGTTCTCACACGGATCTACAGATTGATTTATCTTGCTCAGGATGCCAGCAGCTGTAAAATGAAAGACACCACATAGATTTTCTGGAACATTTTTTTTCCTAAACAGAGAATTACACAAGGATACAGAAATGATGATTAATGAGAAACAAACAAACAAACAAACAAACAAGACAAAATATCTGCAATGAATCTTCTTGAGTGCCATACAGCAATGACAGCTGAACTTAGCACTACATGAACATGAGCTGACAGACACCTGAATAGGCTCTCTATTGTTACCATGATAGAATTAATTGCCTGAGGAATTTAGTAGCAATGCATAATAAGTAGACAGTAATTAGCATTTCAGTAACTGTGCACTGTTTACCTCTAGCTGAATACTGTACAAGAAAACAAATCAAATTTTGTTCTACCATATATTGGAAAAGATAATTGGTATTTTTATCTCCATTTTATGACGGCTTCCCCACCAGTTATTATTGAAGGTAAAAGAGAGATCAGTCTGACAAGCTCAATACTCAATAGCTTTTAGTATMTAATAAAAATAAAATCATAGAATAGTTTGTGTTGGAAGGAACCCTTAAAGGTCACATAGTCCAAYMTTCTGCAATGAGCAGGGACATCTTCAACTAGACCAGGYYGCTCAGAATCCCATCCAATCTGAYCTTGAACAATTCCAGMATGGGGCATCCATAACTTCTCTGGATGATGTATACMAGTGCTTCATCACCCTCTCCATAAAAAAATTTCTTCCATATAACTAGTCTGACTCTACCCTCTTTTCATCTAAAACCATATAAAGTCTGTGCCAGATCTGATACAAAAGCATCTCCATGGTTAACAATTCACTTGCTTTCTGACTACAGGAATGGAAGCAACAAAATRTATCTGAAGGTACAGTCACTCAACATTTTGCTTCCTATTAAAAAAAAAGAAAAATTAATCCTAGGGGAAACTTTGAGTCAACCTGGTTAGAGTAGCATGAGAACAAATTAAACCATGAATTTTAATTGTACAAAATAAACAAAACTGAAGCAACTTGAACAGTGACTTTTTTTAAAGTTTGGGGTTKTTATTCTTTCCCCCTCATTAATTAAGCTTTCTGAGTAAAATGTGTAATGAGAAAAAAATTAAATGGTATAAATATCTCATTAACATRCTATAATAATGTTATAATTGAGAAGATAAAATTGCTGCTTACCAGCTTCAATGCATTCTGCAGTCAAACAGTACTGTTGTTTCGGATGAAATTTTATAAGACCTTGGCTAACTGCAAAATGGAAAACCATAATGAGATCATTTGCAATGAATTTGGAAAATTGCAGCCAAATGTTGTGTACTCAATCATTTCAATACCAGTGCAGCCTCTGGTCCCAGTGCCTCCTTGACTACATTGATTTAGAGCACTTAAATGTATATTAAGCAAATATATATATATATATATATATATATATATAATATATATTTTTTTCCTTATTCCAGCCCAGAATAAAGCAGATAAATAAAGGATAGCTGCACTTTGTAAGGCACAACCCAGTTCTGTATGAAATGCCTCCCGAAAGAATTGTAATTGCATTTGCTTCCAAAAACCTKGCTGAGAAGAACTATGAAAATGTCACTTAATTTTGTTCATCTTTTAAAAGTGTGTATTACAACTGCCACTGAAATTTCAAGCACAGGAACTGCTAATTTCAGATGTAGCTCTCAGGCAGCAAAAATGCAGATAATTGATACCTGGGATTAGGAAGGGAGAATCCCAAGGGGAAGGTGAAATAGGACTCACTAAATGTGCTCAGTAGGCATAAAGAAATGTCTCATTATATCCATTATCTTAACAACAGTCCATGACAAAAATAAAAAAAGAAAAAAAAAAAAAAAAAAAAAAAAAAAAAAAACAAAAAAAAAAAAAAAAAAAAAAAAAAAAAACAAATAACACTAAAAAAAAAAAAAAAAAAAACCAACAACGGAATATGTTATGGTACTATAGCTTTAACAGAGCTGGTAGTTGTAAAGCAGTTTCTGCTGTAGTTACATAGTGTTCAAAAGTGACAGAAAAATGTAAAATGGCATTTCAGCCCAGGAAAATTTTATTATAAAAAGTCCTAAAGCTTGAATTAAATATAAAGCTGTTTCATCTCTTCCAACCTTACAATTTTAGTGACAATTAATGACAGAGATATCTGGATTTCAATCAAAGATTCTCAAAAAATAGGAATACGAARCAATTTCTGGAACAGCTTTTCCAAAGCTTGCATTGGCTCAGTGAAACACAACACCTCAACCACCATTGTAAATTAGCCAAGAAACACATGAGATTTTGAGGCATACAAAAATTGCAAATGTAAGAATATTGAAGAACAGCAGAAAATAGAGGAGTGGAGATTTCCAGAATATGATTTTGAACCACTACAAATGTGAACTATAAATAATGGATAATGTCCCTTTTAATTAAGTGTTGCATTCCTCCCAACTCACCTTTTCCCCTGATTAGAATTTAGCCATTTAGAATCCATCCAGGTCTTGATTGCTTGCTTGACTTGTTTTTTCTTTTTTCTTAACAAAGCAGAGAAAGGAGGGAAAAGACCAGAAATGGTTTTGTTCCTTAGATGTGTAGGAATAACTGAACCATGAGAAAAAGGCAGGAGAAGGCTACATTTCCCTCCTCAGGCTGGAAAATTCATTTCATGTGTTTCAGAAACAGCAAAGTAAATGAAAGCTCAAGAAAAAAGATCATCTTGAGGTGCCTGAAATATTTCACGTGGACAGAAATAATGATGTCCATTTCTACAGTTTAATAAAACTAAAAAATACTTAAGCTCAAACTTTCAAACAAAATCCTGTCATAATGAAATGTGGAAACATCTAGTTGAGAAAATGTTAAACCAAAACAATTCAATTTTTTTTCCTTCATTCTTTAGGTTGAACATTTCATAAAATTTCCAAACAAATCCTAAAACCATTTTGACTGACCCAAGGGCAGCACTTTTATTTTCTTAGTAGTTATGCCAATGAAAATTTTGACCCTGAATCCCTRGCTACAGAACACGCCACAGGCACACTTGGAAAACTGTCTGTAAGAATTAATATATTTGCTTGAATTTTCACACCTGGCCTATGGATAAAGCAGTTTTATCTCTGAGAAGTTATGGTGGTAAATGTCTATTGTTTTTATTGCTCTAAGCAATAAACAATCTAGTTCAGGCAAAAAGAAATAAGGTCTCTCCATTATTACTCCTTGGTGCTTATACTGCATTCTTTAAGTGAAAAGCTTTTTTTTTTTTTAATCTAGAAAGTTGAAGATTCAAACTTGCTCATGATCACAGAGTTTTGTTGAATTGAATGGGATCACTAACACTAAGTTATTTGCCTGCAAATGTTGCAGAATTTGCTGTAGAGCAGAAAAACTCTAATCAAGAGTGAGCCTGGTGCTTTACATATTCTATAGAAAACCTGTTATGTTGTGACTATAAACAAACAAAGATCAAAAGAATATAAAGAGTCAAAAGAAAGCAAATGATATGCTTAGAGKCAAGGTTTCCTCCAGCCTAGGGAAAACTGTGTTGGTCTGAAGAAATGAAAAGTTGGGCTGAATTATTCCAAAAAGAGGATCCAACTYGGCAAAGTTCTTACAGGACACAACAAAGCTTCCTCTTCTCTGCTTGGAGTTTCCGGGCACATTTATGTTTCTACTACACATCATTTTAGAAGTGCATTTTTATGCTTCTACTACTTCATTTTAGAAGTGCAGGCATATGCTTTCCAGTGATATCCTAACAAAACAAATCTGCAGATGATTCCAAATCCAGGAGAGGAAAAATTCCTTCTCTATTGCATCCAGTTACAGCTTATGTATGTGATCAAAATAATTTAATTTCATCCTAGATGCACTCTTTGTGACTTTTGCAGAGGCGACTTTACAATTCATCATAGAAGAACAGAAAGATCTAAAAAATGTGCACGCATAGGCACTATTGAAGCTTTCTAYAGGAATTTTAGTCAAGCCCTAAATGAAAACCAAATGAAGAAAACCCCAAAAGATTCCACAGAATGTGTGCACTACACAGATTCCTTTTCAGAAAACAGAGAATATTACTCCATATCGGCCACAATCCATAATCAGCAAAATCTCATCCATTTCTCTCTGTCCTGTGAAAGAACCCAGTTCTGGTCAGAACACATTCAACTGAATATCCAAATTTAAAGTTACACATTGCATCTTCCAGCTCTCACATTTCCAAACAAGAACTCCTTTACYGACACACGTCCCTTTCAGGATAAATATGAGGATATAGAAAAAGAGACAGAGATTTTCACCAAAAGACGTCATGAAGCACAAACATTGGCACGGAGCAGACAGGCTGTGTTCAAGTTAGAAATGTTTCTATCAACATTTTCACTTACCCAAGAAAAGAGATGTTAGAAATGTTTCTATCAACATTTTCACTTACCCAAGAAAAGAGCAGTGCCAAGCACAGCAGTGGCACTCACAAAGACACCGAGGGCGATCCGTGTGGCTTTGCTGGCTGCTCCCCTGGCCTCGGGGGCTGGCTCTCCTTCCATCAGGATGGTTTGGGATGTGCTCCTCTCACACAAGTCTGGTTTATCCCCRGCTGCTGTTGTGTCAGTGTTTCAACTGTTCACAAACTGTGCCCATGAGCTCTCCTCCTCCTCCTCCTCTCTCCTATTTAAAACTCCAGGTTTCTGTCATGAACCATTTCCTAGGCACTTCCTGCTCTCTCCCTCTCAAAGCAAAATCACATGTAAAATAGTAGCTGTCTCCTACGTTTTCCTCTGCCCAGGAGGAGGAAAGGCAAGCGGTGGCCACAGTTTGTGCAGAGCCTCAGTGAGCCAATCACTCAGCAGTCCCCCTTATCAGGGCTTTGGAACACATTTCACAACGTYGCTGAACAGATGTTTTAACTATTCAGAGAGCTGCAAACCCTTTCCAATCAAAGCAGGATTGCTGACAACTTCTACAAACACTAGTCTGATGGAAGGTTTTCTTTTATTTTTTTTTCTCCTTATTTAAAAAGACTAATTATCTGCTGACTAAGTTTTCTCCTTTTAAACCATTGCTGCTGCATCATTTGGCTTCACCAGAAGAGGTACCCACTCAACAGACAAATCCCTTTTTAAAGCTTCCTAAGAACTCTTAGAATATCATATAGCATTTTATTTCGGGAATTTGGTATGTGACACTGTGTGCCAAAAATCACAGTCGAGCAGCACAAAGCAATAATCAGCACAACCTACAGAATAGTCCTGYTCTAAAAGCTAGATCTGACTTTTTCTGGGCAAGATATTTCAGTCCTTGCTGACACACAACACATTTTAAGAGATGATCCTATGGTTCCAAGTACTACTGTGAGCTTAGTGGAAAAGTCACTTTATTGTGACTTATTTGTCACTTTAAGATAGTGGGGAATTTCTAAAAAAATCTTATTGGAATGGATTCCTCAGTGGGGTAGACCTGATAATCTTCTCTCCATGCAGCAAACTTTCCCCATTCAAAAAGTAACAAAATCAGTCATTTCAGGGTGAATTCTCCRAGCTGAACTTGGCATTCAACTCTCTGAGGAGCCCTTGCTTTCTCCAGAGTTGGACTCTCACACAAAACATAAGGATGAAGGGAGAGACAGCACCGTGCTCATACTCTCAACAAAAGTTTATGGGCCTGAGTTACTTTTGTGGGGACTTACAAGTCCCTATCTCAGCCCTGAACCATCCTGATTAAAAGTTGCACAAGGAGATAACATTCATATGTCACAAGATGTGAGTGATAGCCATTATTAGTTTGGAGACTGAACACTTTTTCTGTGACAGCACCTGCACACAAGTTGTCCTGGATTCACATGAGCATAAAGAGAAAGCCCACTGTATCTAGAAGATTTAGAGTTTGAAGGTCCCGAAATCCTCACTCCTCAACCCTCTCTACAGCCTCACTGGGATCCTGCAAATAAAATGCTCTCCGTTCAGATCCCAGTCCCTCTTCACCAGGAAGCTCSAAGAAGGAATTTTCATCTCTGCTTGGTGCAGCACAGGAAAAAAGCATTTGTTCCTTTTCACCTGCCTGCTTGTCCCACATATAATCCATGATTTTTGACATCCATCAGCTAAAATAGGAGAGGGAAATGATGCCACAGAACCAGGAGGGCCACAAAATTTCACAGTACAAAAATTCCTGTCAAAATTGGTGCATGAATGAGTCCATGGGTATGAGCAGATCTCTGGTTATAGCCAACACAAAACTGTATCCACACAGGTTTAAGCAGGTACTTAAATTACATTGGTGCAATTGAGTCTTCATATCAGAAATCACTATGATCTCAAAGGGATGCTWAAAGGGCAGGGTATTGACACAGCAAATGCACAAACATGGTATGATCTCAACACTAAACCCACTGTGCCCATGATCCGAATGCTGAGTAAATCTCAAAACACTTCTGACAAGAATTTGCTGTTGGTTACATGATGGTTTTCCTACTGAACCCCTGAAACTACCAGTGCTGAGCCATTAGACCTATTCATACTGAAAATTTGCCTTATATCCCCCCAACCAACACTCAATTATCATATGCCTACTCCATTCCCCCATAATTTTGCCCCTTGGGAAGTACTACTATATACTGAACATCCTGCTCTAYCAGTGTTTCACAAGCAGGATTTTGCTTTCATATATCTCTTTTTAGGACAAGATCAGGCCAGAAACCAAGAACAACTTTCAACAGCACAAAGCAGCAATCACTTATTTCTCTTTGGAGATTTGTGTAGGGGAAAGGAGAGATAGGGAAGCAGCAGGGAAAGGCTGGACAATTCATTCCTCTCTCCCAAACAACCAAAGAGAAGATGAGAACCATGGGAACATGGAGCTACCCCAACAAAATCCAGCAAGTTGCAACTACAGGATTCCTCTGAAGAGTTATCCCCAAGCAGCACATAATCCTTGTGGCAAGGAAAATCACAAATCAGCTGTCAGCAACAGAATGACTTTTCCATGTTTCRGTTTGTGGGCTTATTTACATATTGTAAGTGTCCTTCCCTCTGGCTGTAGAGCCTGGCTGTAGTCAATAACCCATCTTGGTTTCTCCAGCACACACAGAGCTATGAAATTATGGCTAAACCACAAAAAGCTGCAGGTTGTTTTCTGGCAGTGCTTGAAAAGGTGCACGGAGCACACATGAGTAAGTTCCTGATACTGATGATCTGTGATAAMAGTCTGAGGAATTTAATTTGTGTTTTTGATGAGCATTTTAGGATTTGGTTGCTTTGGTCATCCTGAGTCCAGCAGGAAACATGGCCACATTTACTGCTGGAACTGCTAACAGCACCCCTGGCCACTGCAGCCCAATAAGGCTGGGTAAAACTCTGCTAAACATTCATAAAACATGGAATAGACATGGTGGGGAAAAAGTAATAACTAAATGCTACATGCTCCAAATCACTTTTCATTCACTCAGAATTCCATATCTCCTAGATCCCACTTAAACAATGGAATCACTCTGGCACGTATAACAAAGCCAGGACAATGCACAAACAATTCCAYCCACAGTTATTCCCCAGAGCTGGTGAACCCTTCTGGAAGCATCCCAGCTTTCAGAAAAGGTCTGTTTGTGAATATAAGTGTGTGTGTGCGAGCACATGAATGTACACAAACACACACCTGCTCTTCCACAAGTAGACACAATTCTCACTTCCATCCACTATGTCAGAGTCAGACAAGAGCACTTGATCAGAGCTGAAATCAACAGCACCATGGCAGCTTCTCCTCATACAGCTTTTTTCAAAGATGGTCCTGTTTCTTGAGGTTTKTTTGATAAACAAAATCACACACATTGCCCAGTTTTCACTGGAACACTCAAAAGCACTGCAAAGGTGTTGCTGAATGTCTGGAACAGCCTGAGGTCAGCACATGGTCAGGCCAAGCTTGCTTAAAGAAGCTGCTTGCAATGAGCCTGAGCACTGTAAAATATTGAATCTTTCTGGCATTTAGATAACTTCAAAACATATTAAAAMAATCACTGATACTTTTTAGACAAAGAGAAAAAAGATCCCAGTTAACTTCCAGATATAAAACCCAACATAACACATGTAAGGTTACACCAATACCTGAGTCACAGATGTTGATTTGGAAGACAGTCATCATGGTGTACACTGAAGACTTGCTCTGTCTGGGAGGTGCCTGATGGGTTATTTTAGAACCAAGTACAGTCCACAATCACAGCATCACAGCTGTGGTGGTGTACTACTGARCATTTTTAGTCTATGGTAAAAGGAAAACACAGCCACCATCACACTGATGGAAGCAGAAACACCAGATACAGCTTGAGTGGCTTCCTCAGAGAAGCAGATGTATGTGCTTGCTTCATTGAAAGAAATGAACAGAGTAAAGTCTGTATTCCATCCCATTTTGAGGGTTCCACCCTGAGCATTGAACTGTTTTTCAAACCATGCAGCTGTTGCAGCCAGAACTGGGCTTTATGTACACAAAACACGCTTGAGAAAAGCCCAACATATTGCATTTRAAGACAGTTTGACCAGTTGTCATCAGATCTTTGAATTTTATAAATTACATTCCCTTGGCTACAAAAGCTGCCAAATTTCTGTGCTGCAGCCAACAGAAACCACACTCTGGCACCACTTCATGTCCTTTATTCATGGGACAGATACAGCTGGAAATAAATGACTCCATTGTTTTCCACTGGTACAGCCACATCACAGAAAGCCTCAGTGCAACAGTGTGAATGTGGGTCATTAATTAGGAGTSRATATTGAGCCAGCAGGATTTGCAGRGCTCCAAACACTGCTGGTGGCAAGCTTTTCCACTAACTCTAACTGCAACTSTGAAGAGAATACCCTGCAAAGCAGAAAACTTTGTTCTCCAGCATTTAATACCCCTAATCAATCTTCTTTTCTTTTTCAATTCCAAGTAGACAAAGAAGAATTTTTTCCCTGCTGCAGAAAACATTGCATTCTCTGACCAAAAGGTGCTTATATCTAACCCAAACAGCAACTGACTATGAAACCCAACATCTGGGATGATTAAAGTTAAGCCACTCAAATTTGCAAGCTTTTTATTTGCTGCTTTTGAAAAGGCACTTTTAATGACACAGTGCATATGTTCTCAAGCAGAAGGAACTGCTTTAAGTCTTCTGGCAATTTTTCTTCAAGAAGCACGTTAAATTGTAGCTAAACCAAACACTCCTTCTCCTAAAGACCACATTCACACTACGACCAGAGAGTGTTTACACAGAGCCATCACATGAGCATCCTCCCCATCTGTACAGATTAAACAAGGGTGCATGCTGACATGGGCTGGAGAAATGCACCTCAGCTGGGGATTAAAAAATGCACAAAATACCCCATTTTTGCTTTGTTTCATATAATCTAACTCCGTACATAGGCTGTTAAGACACTGAAAAATACATTGCTAGGAAATGCCACTTTTCCAGCTGTAGGTGCAGGGAGGTGGACTGAACACAAATAAATGTCCGTTGTTTCCTTAGAACATTGCATCATTCCACCAGAGCTTTACCCACTTATTTTGCTTTGTCCAGATGTTTGCTCACAGCTGTTAAGTCTATTTATATAAATAGTGCGAGGTTATCAAGGAGTTTTTGTCCTATGGATGAATTTTCAGGTGTGCAATGAGACACACATTTACTGGCATTTTAAATTAAAAGAGGAGGAGAGCCACCAGCTCTGCATGTTCCTGCTTTCAGCATCTAACAAAGAGATCCCTCCACCTTTCTCTTGGAGAAGATCCCARTTAACTTCCAGATATAAAACCCAACATAACACATGTAAGGTTACACCAATACCTGAGTTACA